CACTAAAGGATGGAGCAATTACCATACAGTATATGTACAGTGTATATACAAGATACAAATAAACAGCACACTGTTGACAAAATTGATTTGAACCACAAGCTCAGCAAGCTTTTAGTTAGTTGGCTGAAGGTATAGTAGTTTTATTTACCAAATGAAAAGAATTTTATCTTATGAGCTGCGGCTTACGATACGTGTCGCCATTTGCTATAATGTACAGAAGGTTAAGACAAAGCAAGTGAAATAAATGATTGATTGATTGAATAATTTAAAATGCAGTGATTGGCTTGTTAATATTAGGCCAAATTTTTTTGTTTCTATAAAAAAAAGCTAAAAAAAAAAAAAAAGCTGTCAGACTGGAAACAACTTGTCTGAATGCAAGTGGATCAATTCTCAGATAAGAAGCAATGTTTAAATTAAGACCATTCGCTTTCCAACATAAAGAAATGTGACACCAATGACATTTTTTTTATTCCATTTCAATATATGAAGAGCATTCAATGCTGGTCTTGCCGATGAATATGCTTTTCACGGCAGCATTCAGATTTTTGTGGGATTCTACCTGCATACTTTCTATCCAAATTGAATATCAATGCATGATATTTCCTTTGTAGGCCCTAGTTCATATCATCACAATTAAGAATATAGGATTTCAAAGAGGCATAATACTCAGTGGGGTGGCCCCCCCTCCCCAAATAGTCACGGTAAAGTAGTTTAAAATCACCTTATTTTGCGAATTGGCACCACTCAACTGATCATCGAGCTCCCCATTTCACATTCGCCTCCCCCAATCAGCACCCCATTTCAATACTTCTAGATACGCCACTGATAATATTACTTGTCATCATTTAATGTCATAATTTGACACAACATTGTTAAATAGACAGTCATTATTCAATCAATTTTGCCTTGCATTCATAAAATATAATTTTGGCATTTAAATCTTAAATGTCTACATTAACAATTTAGTGATTGTTGATGTAATTATATATGCTGCATTTATTACAGTTCAAGTGAATATAAATTTAAACTGTAAAACTTTAATTTTATATTTTTAGTACAATACATGCTTAATTCATTTTGATATTAGCATAAATTTTAAATTTCAGCAAATATTGAATTTAGTGGGTTATTTTTCACTCGTACAGAGTACTGTATGTGCTTGATCTTGTTCTTTTGGATTTTATTCACATGCAAATGATAAGTCTGGTGAAAGTTATTTTGTAATGCAGTTATTTTCTATCCAAATTGAATATTAATGCATGAATTTCCTTTGTATTTTATATCATCAATATACCTTTTTCATAAGGAATATTTCATATCAATAACTATGAGAATAGCTAGCTGGCTGGCTTTTTGGCTGGTGACAAATGTGATGACGTGTGTATTTATTTCTCTGTTGTTTTCATGGGTATTTGTGCATGCTACTGAAATATTAGTAATAAATCAACCTTACTTTTACTACAGTATATTTTTTCATGAGATCTTTATTTCAATTGTAAAACACATCTTTAGTCTATTTCAAGCCAAGTTGACTGCAGCATATTATTCTAACAAATAATATACACAACATTTTCAATTAACACTCAAAATACTCACAATAGAGTACAGTAATTGATTTGTTAGAACACAAAATTGAGTTGAGCCTATCATATTCCTGTAATACCAATAAAGATACAACCGGGTATACGACCAGCTACTCAACTACTGTATATTTTCGTAAATCTGTTGCTTTTAGCCAATTCCATGTTCTTACCCAATAACTGGCAAGTATTCACTCACCTCGGATTAATTTATACAGGTAATACTGTACAATACTACTGTAGAGTTTTATTACTGTACCATTCAATTAGTATGGTCAGAAGCCATACACTGGATTAAAGCATCATTAAAGTTAATTTACTTCATGAATGCATGAACACTTTGCTCGGGTGTAGAACAATACATAAAAAAAATATTCCATGCAGTGTTGCGTAAACATGTATATTTGACCTTTTGCATTTTGGGTGTAACACACCATGCACTAATAAAATGGTTGGTATAAAAATGATGAAGATCAAGATTGACATAACAGATATTATAGAACAATAGTAAATATTATTAATTAAATCTAACTGAAAGTTACTCTATATTAAAATAATTTTTAAATACAGTACTCCCCTGGTATTCAAACTTTTTAAGCTACTCCGCTACTTTGGCGGGCTGGTCCGGGGGTTGAATAAATCGAGGCAGTACTTAAACTACTGACTTAAAATTCCTTGAAAGCTGTTTTCTCAAAACATACTTGGCTGATATCCAATGAATTAAATTTTCATAACTTTGCTAACACTCAACCAATTCTTATCAAATAAACACCTTTATAAAGATTTAAATTTTTTTATTTATTCTTTGAATTTGAACTTTAATGAGGATAGCCCCATGCAGCTCATCATTAACGGAGAGCTGATATTAAGGGGTTCTTAACAAATATAAAATACACAAGCTTGTGAATTAAAATTCATCGTTAGTCAAAAAAGTGCTACCTTCTCATTTGTTTTATAAAATACACAGTTCATAATAACAAGATCATTTTAAATTTCTGCACTTTTTGGATTTTTTATAATGGATGTTAGTGCCTTTTGATTTGTATTGTGAATGTTTATTGCATTTTATATGTTTCATCACCTATTATTGCAGCAGAACAGTATTTATACGAATCTATGTAAGTTTCATCACCTGGATTTTGTCGTGTTTACCTTCCCCAGCCTGGGGGTATTTGCTGAATAAATTGATTGGAAATATTAAATAATGATATCAATACAAATAGCAATAATTAATAAGGCAAAACAACAGAAATAGCAATATTAAAAACAATAAAATAATTTTTAAAAGTTAATAAATCAATAAAATTAACATTGGCGAATGAGATCACAAAAAAAAAATCTGATGCAACAGAGATTACCTACATAATATTTTGAAAAACAAATGCTTTTTTAAAAAGTGGCAAACGATGTGCATTGGTGAAGTTCGGTAGTAATTTTTTTTATACACATAAGGGCAAAATAGTGAAAGTTAATATACCATAAACTCAATAATGTAAAGAAGTAGTGAATGTTCTATTTAACAAAAGAAAATTTCCTCTAACGAATAATGAGAATATGGTGTAAATTAATGAACATATTAAATTAAGTTGTAAAACATTCTTAAAATAAATCATAATGAACTTGATATATAATTACAGTACATACAAATTATAGATTTAAAAATTACTTAAAACCATGTAATATCTTAATTAAATTGTACTATGCAAGCCACAAAAAAATAACAGTACATATTTATATACAATAGTAATATTCGCTAACTAAAATTTTGTAAAGCTTCCGTATAATTTAAGCATTAAAGTACTATACAGTACCATATATTGAAAACTACATCAAAATTACACTCTATTTCTACAACCAAAGAATACAATATTGAAATACGGTATACTACTATATATACAAACAAAAAATTAAATGAAAATACTGAATTACACTTCCTAATCAGTATTAAAATAAATATATGTGAATTTACATATTTTTAAGTTGGCCATCATCAAATATAACAATAAAATTATAATTACTATTACATTTTTATTGATAATATTATTAATTTATCTTTTTATTCTATTATAAGTCAAATTACGAAAACTGTTAGATGCTTAATGATAATTTTGAAATGTATCTAGTTATCACAATGCAAAAAACGCTCTATGCAGACCCAATTAAATGAGCCCTATACAATGGAGGAAAACAGAAATGATCTAGCTCTAGAAACTAATCTACTCTTCAAAACCATGATTTGCCTTCATCTTTGGGCTCCTTTACAGCATCTGCAACCATACAAAATAAGAAGGACCTGAATCAAAAGCAAAAGAAGCAGATTCTAAACCTAAAGATCATTTATCAACATTACAAACAATATTAAATTTAACCCATTTCTCTTGTAAAACTTAAGGAACTTTCACATTTTGTATTAACTATACAACTATGTATTACTGTACATTATACTTTGAATAGGTACTCAGCAATATGGGAGAAAAGATTTTAGTTATTAGCCACACTGTACTGGGAATATCTTATGGGGATGGAGCTTAAAATATTGAAATTTAAAAATATATACAGTATTCTACAATGAAATGGGTCTAAACATGGAGGTATTGTTTACTATAATACCGTACCTCCATGGTCCAATAATGAACCCTGGGGAACTTGCACTGTCAGTGAGCAAGCACCTCTAAACTTAACCTGCTGGTATCATCCAGAAAAGAATGAAAACCTGTGTAAGATAAGGGCACATATCCAATAGTGTATAACGAATAAAAAAAATAAAAAATATTGACACTAGAATGACATAATACCTACAAAATCGCATTCTCAATTCAATTTGTTTAAGTAATAATGAAAATGGTCATCAATTGATTAACTAACTTAAATACAGTATTCATATATTAATTAATTAAAGAGACAAACAAGTTATTCAAATTTTAAGTACAATGTACCCAACGTGGGAGGCTAATAACTACGTTTCATATTTTGAAAGCAGGAATTGCAAAATCCCTTTGCACCAGGATTTCCACGATTTGTACAATAATCATTAAAACATTTCAGATCCGTACGATTTCTATTCCTCGGTTCTGATCCATATACTCGTGGTTCTTCCACTGTTGCACTCTGAGCAGGTCTTCGAGTATATACTGGACCGTACACCTGGTAGCACTCGTTGCACAGGCCATCCAAAACCTGGACGTTGGCCCAGTTACCACAACCTTGGATGCACAGCCGTGGTTTATATGGTTCATCTTGCAACATATTGGGAGACGGTCTTACTGGTGCACTCCTACTTTCTTTTGGTCTTGTTGGCTTTAGAGTAAAGCATTTGGAACAGAACCCATGATATTGCGGACTTCCAAACATCTCACAACCTGTAAGATCATTTACCAGGTACACAGATTTATGAGTAAATGTATTACAATTTCTCTGTTCTGAAGTATAAAATAATTACTCAGTTTAATATTTAATGAAAGTACCCTGGTTTTGGGATGGCAAGCCTCATATCTTATTCATGTTCCATGTGGTATAAAAAGCTAGATGGTATAAAGTGAGAATTTCATGCAAGCATGATTGGAAACAATAGGCTGGGTGAGATTAGAATAAACAGCCTAAACAAGTAAACAGGAAGGCCAAAACTAAACCTCAATAAATAAGCCAAATGATTTATCCAGAATAAATTGAAATGCCATTGGTTTAATTTAGTGTATTGGGAGAACGTTCCTTTCAGCACATTAAATCAAGCATCATACATGCAAACTCTGGTGTTGACAGACGCTCGTTTAAATAAGGCACCCAAATTTAATATATCACAATTCATGTTTTTACCTAGTCACTATAAAAATGCCCATAATCAGTGTAGGATGATTTTGCAGACAGAGCAGCACATTGGCATTTGCTACACCATGTACCCTCTTATAATATGAAAACAAAAGAAAAAAAATACCTGTATTCTTGCAAAGAGAGGATTTCTCTTGACTGCGAATAAATTCTTCTTTTCTCGATAAACCAGTATTGTAACATTCTTCAAAGAGCTCTGCAAAACAAAGACTGTTATTGAGGCAAGAGATTCTGTGGTGGGGATGGCCCCAGAACCTGATTTATCCATCATATCTGGCAAAAATATATGCTTAACTTTGTCTAATTTTTAAAATGAAAAAATACCTTGCTTAAGATAAAAACATTTGTCTAATATCTCATTTAACCAATGGCAGACATACTGAATTACATTCCAAAGTTATAATAGGTTCGAAACTCAGTAAAGAAAAAGGTTACATAAGCATTTTTAATTGAGAATTAAGTGTATAAAAGATAATATATATCAAACTATAGACTTTCAATGGCAGGAACTGTTTCTTACTTGCGTGCCTGCAGTTGTTACAAACACCATCATGCCCAGCAAATCTTGTACCACACATATTACAGAGAGGCGCTGGAGCAGATTGAGGTAAATTTGACATCGTATTTGTTTTAATTGTTTCCTCACGCTTCAAAGTGTCCAAGATATGCTGACATTCAACACAGAGGGGCTGATCTGGTGGGGTTTGTCTTTTACAATTCTGATTAGCACATTTCTTTTGTGCATGTCGTGACAAGGAAGCTGGATTTCCTTTTGATGTCTGAGCTTGGTAACATGTATAGCAATGCCTTTGATCCCCTAGCGTTACGATCATATCCTGACATCCCTCAGTTATACAGAACTTGACTGATGAAGGAGCAACTGATGGATGAGCTATCTCTCTCCTGGCTTCTGACTGGAATCGGGCTTCTGATTGCATGCTTACTCCTGTTACACTAGGGAGATTAATATAGCATTCTTTGCAATAGCCATCACAAAAGACTTTCTTTCTACAATAATCATTTTTACAAACAGCCTGGTGTTCCTGGAGTGTAAGTTCATTCAAACACTTTGTACAAAAGCCATTCTGTTCACGTGTACCAAACAAGTCACAATTCTCAGTTCTGCACTTAAATGGTCCAGTAGGCTGCTGTAGGCTTGAACTGCCATACTTAAGTTCACCCAACTGTATTCTTGGAACAGATGTCACTCCCTCCAAGGAGCCTTGTTTTACATGATTGCTTGGCTTTTCTTCCTGGGTGTTTTCGGTGTTTTTTCTAGTAACTTTTTGGTAGCATTTTGAGCAGAATCCCTGCAAAGCATATTGACCTGTAAGCTTACATGTGGGTTCAAGGCATTTCTTGGAACCAACATTTGTTTGCATAATAGCTAGGCTATTTAATCCACTTGGATCTTCTATAATATTTGGCCTTCCTTGTGACGAAGTCCTTAGTTCAGAAGCCATTGCCATTTGATTAGAAGGCAAAGGTTCATATCCAACCACATGCAGTGATCTTTGCTTCTTAAGATGTTCACTTCCAGAGCAGATGTCACAAAGGCCTTGTCTCTCAGGATTGGCCTCTTTCATACAACCCTCTGTTCTACACTTTTCAAGTTTCGTATGCTGAGCCATTGGAGCTTTTTCAATACAGCTGTGACAATAATCCCCTGGTAGTTCAGATGAACAAAAAAATTGACATCTAGGTGTCTTACATGGCCTGTCAGGACGTATAGAATATCCCCACTGAGCATATGTTGACGCCGAAGCCATACTACCAGTCACTGGTGAAGACACAGGAGATTGAAATGCTGGATTCTGAGCTGGCCCCCTTAACTCACTCTTGGGATCATAGCTTCTGTCCAATTTTAAGTGGCCAAGTTTCTTTGAGACATTTCCAATCTGCATGCTCTCGGGTGGTGCTGAAGCGGTTGGATGAAAACTTGTACAATTCTTTACAAGGCACTCTTCGCATACATCATTCTCACCATCAGCTGGGTTGTTAGTACACATAATACAGAGTTTAACACCTGAAGGCTTTCCAGATTGACTTTTTGGTGGATTCACTAGGAGTAGACTTGAGATTGATGCATTAGATACTCCAGATTTTATTCCAGCTTGATAGTTCTTCTCTGCTAATTTGAAGTATGTTTCCATAATACTAGCTGATTCTAACAGTTCTTTTGTTCCAAGTTCAACTGCCTGTAAGTTTAGCATTGAAGTAGAATGTTCTGTATTATGCATTAACTGCTTCTGCTTCAAATAAGTAGCTAATAATCTGGGTTTTGATGCTTCCTCCTCTGGAAGCAGAAAATGTACAGGAAATCCCTCTAACTTATTAGTGCACAGTGGTAAGACCATATCTACAATTTCTTCTGGAAACTTCTTCTTGCCTACCAATGGTACAAAGTGGTTTTGATGGTAACCAAGCACTATTGGGTAGGTAACGCATTCCTCTGCTTTGTAAATTACTGGTAGGTATATTCCTGTGACATTCTGTGGCTGCAGTGATCTTCCAGCGGTGTCCCGAAACATTGTGTCTGCTAAAACAATTATGGGTCTTTTAAGGATGTTTGCCATGATGAAAATGTGAATCTCCTCCAGGCTGTGATATGGCAACATATGTTGGCCCTCTGGATTTGGTTCTGGTGATGCATTACGAATGACCAACTTCCACTCATCATCCCAGTTCTTAATGAAAATAAAAAAAGAGAATGACATTATTGATTGGTCGTGACCAGCAGTTAACTCCTACTCCTTAAACTAAGTTATGTTAGCCGTTGACTACAAAGAGCTCATCTGCCATTTGTTCAGCTGTTGTTTTTCGTGGTGCTGGATGACCATATGACCTTCCCTCACCAGCCACTAAAGCTTGGTTTCCATACAACCGCTACAGTCGCTCCAGCATTTTAACTGCAATCTTTGCGCTGCGTAGCTGTCCCCAAAGCAATCGGGAACGCTCCCTGATTCAAGCGACCAATCAGCGTCGCCAAAGGAGTCGGCGATAGCATGTAGCAATTTTTATGGAAACCAGGCTTAAGACAACACAACTGAGTGGCGTTGTCAGTTTAGTTGCCTTTGTGTGCTTGTCTTAGTTTGGAGGTCATTTTTTGTACACTGGTTTACACACATCCCTAGCATTACTAACCATTGTGTCATAACGCAACCCTCCAGCAGGAATCCCTTGATCAAAGGCTGCCCTTCCAAGTTGCCATCTCTTTTTGTAGTTTTTTTTAACTTCATTATCACTGAATATGTCTTGATAAAGTATTCTGCGCATTTGCAGGTCGAGATCCTCAATACCCCAAAGAAAAAGAGAAATGGCATGTAACAGACAATTGCCATCCCCTGTAAAAAACATAGAAAAGATGTTCAAAATACATTTAGTACCACATTGACTCACTCAAGAAATATTGTAAAAGAAAAACAATAATATTAAATATAGACCACTTCTACAATTTTGGTACTAAAAATTACTATAGGTTTGATTTTGTCTCAAAATTTGTGTGAGAATACCGTAACAAGCAAAAATTATGTTCATAAATTTTCTCTATAATGAGTGTACAAGTTACATAATTAAAAATTTATAATTTTGTTTTTCTCATAATTTATGAGATGGTAGCCAACAAAGTGAAATCTTCTGTGTACAAGTGTCAGCTATCATAAATCACTTAATCTAAACTTAGTACAGTACATAAGCAAATAACAATAGCAAAATTATATAGGTATAAAAAAAAACATTAAATATTGACTACATGTCAGGTAATTTGGAAATGGATATTTTCTTCAGGAAAAAATGATTGTACATAGGAAAGAGGAATTGTGTTAAAACATGTACAAATAATACTGCATCACCTACCTGTGGTTCTCAAAGGGAACAGCTTTGTTGCAGATTTGCTCCAGTTGATGATTCCAGAATCTTCAAAGAATTTCATGATGGTTACATCTATAAGTGAAATCTGTAGTGCTTGGACAAAGTCAGGTGGTTGAAGACCCCAGAGCATAGGAAGCAAGAAAGAAAACTGTGACAAGTTGAAAAAGGTATGTGGCATCATGGGAGCTGGATTTGCAAAGATATCACCTTTAACTTTGTTACGGATCTTCTCTTTTGTTGCATGGTCACAATCAGCAATGCGTTGAGGCAACCCTAAGGCTGATCTGGTTGGCCTGCTTTTACTTTCATCTGCTTTGCTGGTTTCATTCGGAGCCATGGTTACTATAATTAATAAAGACAAAAAATATAGTACTTGATTAGTTGAATGGCAGCTGTAGTAAAAAAAAAAAAAAAAACAAATAAAAAACTGCAAAAAAAATAATGGTTAGAGATGTTTAACAAAGCCAAGGTTTATATACCAGTACGTTCACGGGCGTTTTCATTGGATTTAGGGATTTAGTACTGCATTCTGGGATTTATAGTTCCGAAATTCCCTGTTTTTCGCAACACCACCCCCATTCTTCAGGCAGAATCCAGCCTACGCCACTGACATTTTGGTTTTGTGAAAAATTTAGTTCAGAGCAAATAAAGGTTTTTTAAATGAAGTTTCAAAAATTTCTATGTATGTGGAAAATGTAGTTGATTACCAAAGGTTACAATTTTTATTTTGAAGACTGCATGGTCTAGGAAGTGTACATTTTTTTACAAGTTTCCAAGAGCGGGTTTTCTAGGGGCGAGTTGACTGCCAAAGAGTGTTGCCAAAGTGCGAGCCAGCGTGTTATTTGATCACAAGTGCGAGACATCGCAAGTGTGAGCCAGCGAGTCATGACGTCACGACAATAGATACGAGACATTACTCGAGTTACGCGAGGTATCGGTTGAAATTTGTGGAGCACAATTCAAAAAACAACTATAATAGGTCTAATAATGAATTATTGTGATGTTAAATAGACAATGTTAGCTATCAAGGAACGACGTTGTTTTTCATTGGGACCTTCGTCTCTTCAAGGCTAGGCCTATACCATCCTAGCTAGTCTAGGCCTAGAGAGTAGGATAAGGCTAGCGCGACATGCGGACGTTGGTACGTGTTGGTTAGTCTACAAACGTCGCCTAAAGTAATTGATTTTACCCGGCAGAACGAAAGAAGGAAACTCCGCTTTTCAGTCGTCTTAGGCCCTTGTTTTTTGACAAACAATGACCTTTCAGAGGTCAAATTGCTGTCAAGAATATGAATTGGCTGCTTCGCAGCAATTAGTGGCCTCCTGTATAGTTTAATTCCATTTAATCTTTTTAGCAGTCAAATTTCATGTAACTATATTTATAGATTTTTTTAATGATTTAACTACTTTATATCCAATTTCATATTATAAATACTGTAATAATTTACTATTTTTAAGCAGTTCTTTATTCCTCGCCGACAGACCGCGAGAGAGCCCCTCGATGGCAAGCATTCTTCAATTAGGCAATCCTGCCATACCCTTAATTAGCTCCTGTTATTTTTGCAAATAAATGATATGTGACGACCGGCAAAAATTAATTAAATATGTATATCAAAATGTAATTTAAATCCGTATATAGAGTAGGCCTATATAGATTGTTGCTATTTAAATTTGAATATGAGCGAGCCCTATACAAATCTTATGTGATTAATTTGATTATTATTATTTATGAGTATTAAAATAGTATAGGTCAGTTGGTCGCAATATATAAACTGTGCTTTGCTGTAAATGTTATAAATTGTAAGTGTTAAATGATATACAGGATCTGTGATATATTCAACTTGTGTAATTGTGTAACGTACATTTTATTGTATTAAAAGTCTCGCCTCTGTTTTAAAGTCAGGCTCCGGAGGAAAACAAATTTTTTATATGTTGTAGAACTGATTTTTCTAAAACAGAAAAAAGTTGTTTGACGAAAAACTGGGGAACGGTGAATGAGATACAGATTTTTTAATATTTAAAAACCGGGGGCCCAATAAGGTGTTGAAATGGGCAGTTACCTAGGACCGAAATTTTTGTGTTCTAGACGCCCGAAAATAACATTTGGGGCGTTGTGGGTATAATACAACTGAATATAAATAAACAACTACCACAATAAGATGACTGCTCCGCATAACTTTTTATTTTCGACTCCCAGAATATATTCTAGAGGGCGTTGTCATGATCAATATATTACCCCCTGCGCCGTCTGTGATCTCTCTTGTCTGAGTGGGCTATTTACTGCAAAACAGAGCTGTAGATAGACAGTTTGGCCAACTCTGTTTCACGGGATTCGATATACGCGCGTATGATTGGGTGGATCGCAATCACATGACTTACACCAGCCATCTTGTCACCAAACACCAATAACAAAACATTAAAGCTATACGCGCGCATGCGCCTGGGCTGTTTGGTAACGACATGGCGTCCATGCGCCAAGTTGGCCAAACTCTCTCTATCTACGGCTCTGTAGGTTCTTAATCTGTATCTCTAGCTCTGTCGCAGTGTGACCACTGCTTGGGTATTTACCCAAGATCTTGGGTATTTTGACTTGGTCTTGGGTTCTTGGGTGTTCCATTCAAATCCTTGGGTATTTTATTTTTACTAAGAAAATTAAATATTTTTGTCAAGAGGAAGAATAAGAAGTAACAAAGTATATTTCAGTCGATTCAAGTAAGCAAAACTCAACGAAGTGCACATAACATTGTTAATTGACTGTTAATTGCTATAAACATGGATTCAAAATTGTTTATTTGTGATTTGCGGTGCCATTGATCCTACCTAATTAATGCATTACATAATAAAACTTGATCACTGATGAGATCTAATGATAACACTGGCCGACTGAGGGCGTATTCTTCCATCCGTATTAAACTATACATACGAAAAACACGGGTTTTTTTCAAATTTTAATGCATTTTCATGAAGCTTGGGTAATTTTGGGCAATTTTTGCTGAATCTTGGGTAATTTCGACCCAGTCATTGGGTATATCAAAAATTGTGAGTGGTCACGCTGCTCTGTCATCTAAGCTAGTCTAGGCGGTGTAGGACCGGTTCGGCCGTACACTTGTTCGGCCGTATGATATTCATTGCCCAAATAAGGGTTATTGTATGGAACGTCGTGTAGTGTATAATCAAGGCTAGGCTATCACGTGCAGGTAACGCTGTTGCTGCAAATGGTTGCAAATTATATTTTTAGATGCGCAGTCTAATGGAATTAATGTCTAATGCGTAGTTTAATGCCTGAAGTAGTTTTGCACGTACTTTTTACTTCAATTGCTTGAGAGTTACTTTGTAAAAAAAACCTAGGCCTAGGTAGGCCCTAGCCTAGTCTTTGTCTAGGGCCTAGGCCTAGGCCTAGTAAGTAGTAGTAGGCCTAGACATAGAACGTTATTGAGGCTAGGCTAGGCCCTAACTTAGAACTAGGCTAGGTGGGCCCTACTACAGCCTAGCAATCCATCTCCCGTTGAAAGCGGTCCTACTAAACACCACACGGAACCACACTGATGCAAAAAATAATTAAAATATTGGAATTGGATATATTTACGTCGGCGTAAACAAATCAGTAAACGATATATTTACGTAAATGAAACAACGCATGCACAGTCATACTTGAATAAACTTGCATTATCGGTCACGTAAATTTATCGATTCTTGTTAAATGTATGTTAACGCAGAGTTCAACTTTCAGACTCCAAATTAGCGAGATAAGTATTTATGGGTGTAACTATAGCCGAAGGCCCAAGCCAGGGGTGGGTATGGGAGGGGGTGTCCCCTCCTCCTAAAAACGAGATTTAAAAAAAAAACACGGTGCACGAAAATCAAATCTTCAAACGTGGACGTGTTTATTATTCATATTAAAATACATTAAACTTGACAACAATTTTTTCTTGTAAAATCAAATGATTTCTACTCTTTAAAAGCCATTCAACAACATACTATCGAATCATGGAGGAAATATATTATTTAATATATTTCCTCCATGATCGAATCGACGCCAAATCACACACACGGGTAATCCCCAAATTGGTTGAATGAATTTTTGTAAACAGTTTATGACTAGCGGATAGGTACAGTATTTAAATTATAATTTTACTGTTCTTACTGAACGTAATTACATTTGCTCCAGCAGTAGCCTATGTATTTCAATTAAATAAAATAATTGAATGATTGTGATAATGAGCTAGAAGTATTCGTTTCACTCTCTCACATCATGACCACAACGTCAAGCGAGGCTGTTTATTCCACGTTCTGCATCCATACTTCGTAGACACATGCACAGCATGCCAATGTTTTGTTAGTGATCAGATGACATGGGAAAATATGTTTGAATAAAACATCAAAAAATATTTGTTTTGTCTTACCAGGCAGGAAGATGTATTTTTACATCTCCCTGTGGTCTCGCTTTTCTCTTAATGATTAAATATCTTATAGAAAATACACGCATATTATTATTCGTTGTTTACTTCTTGCTTCATAGCATACAGTACTTTGTAGAATGGATCATGTGCTCTCCAAACGTGGTCTTCCTGTATGTTCTTCGTGATCGATCGGGGCTCGATGCTCGACCCGACTAAAGACTATAACAATGTTGTTTTTGTTAGTGACAACATGGGTAAATGTGTTGGAATGAAACAATAAGATGTTATTTAATTTGTGATGATTGACTATCGTATAACAAAACAGGTAGGCCTAGAAGAATATCGTCTTAATTTCATGGTAATTGAGTTTTAGCAAGGAAACTTCGCGTAGGCCTAGGCCTTGTATTTAGGTCAAGTGTTTTCATTCAACAAATGATTGAGTAAAATGAACATAACATTTCCAGCTCATAATATCACTTTTTTTAAAAAAATTTAACACAATGATTTAATAATTTATTTAGTGATTAAAACTACATACTGCGCTGTTGTAGAAAATTAAATTACATTAAATAAAAAACAAAATTATAAATTAATTAGTGCCTTGGTGAACTTGGGGGAATCACCGTGGCTTGGGAGGCCACGCTAACGTCGAGTGCTGAAAATGCAAGTTTATTAAAGTATGACTGCACGTGCCTTATTATTTAACGTGAATATATCGTTTACTGATTTGTTTACGGCGACGTAAATATATCCACTTCCTAAAATATTACCACACGAGAGTAGGAAACTGCTTAATAATCAATAAAAACCAACTTTTAAAGTGATAGTTGTCCGAATTATGTTAAAAAATGCGTTGACATTGAGTATCTCTAACACATTGATGTCAGCAGAAACGTGTTTATTTTTAATTAAAGGCTTGTCAGTGGCAGGTCCTGTTGGCTAAAAGTTTTCCCCCTCTCTGGCAGCCATTCTGCTGCTGCCAGAAAAATTCTAGATCCCGTCCCAGTCCCCGAACCCACACAGTAGGAAAGAGAACATTTTTAACTCTCCATTCTTACTTCCCGATCAAAACTAATAAATTTTGAAATTTGCGATCATTATATTTTGGCCTCCTTCCATCTATGACACAATAAATACCTTTAATACCATAATACCTTTTTTGGTGCATTTGTTTTGGTTTTTCTTCTCTGTTGTTGTTAAGCGCCTCAAGGTTGTGTCAACGTGAGGTGCTATATAAATCCAGAATTATTATTATTATAAAGATAACACACAACACAGACATTATTAATACTACACTATATAAAATATGACAATAAATGGTGTTAGCATGTCTAAAATTCATGTCCTGAAATTCAGTATATTTAGTATACCAGTATGCAGTTTCCTTTTTTCAAACAGTGTGTTAAAATGCAAATCTCTTGATTTAGTAATAAAATAAAATGAATATCAATCTTTTGTGCTGAAAGATTATGAATTGTGTGCAATTGCAACCTGCTTAAAAGCATTACATTACCAGCAATCCAGCATGATCTCTAACATCCATAGAAAGATTATTGAATAGGATGCTTATTCTCTTGACAGGCCGCCATCATTCCTTCAACGATGGCATCCATTATATGGGAAACTGTATGGTCAGTTGTTACCTTTGTAATTCACCTAATATCCATATTAATCAATGGACTGAGACCTAGAGCTAAGATTGTACCAGTCACTGATGAGATCCTTCTGCAAAGTGCTACAAGAATTGCAAAGCGCATACGTTCCCGTGATGTAAGTTCTTTCATTGACATATACTGGTAAATGTATTATTAAAAATAATATAAACTTTCAGCCATGATACCCCTATCTGTGCTTTGTAGTTTATGTCTTAGATTCACTTAATTGACAAGTGCTCTCAATATTTAAAGTGTGAGTTGGGCACTGATGATATTTCTTATGCACACTTTTAACAGAACTTTTACAATCTACATGCAATTGGTATGTTTTACACATAATTTAACATTACAGTTGCGGTACAGTTACCACATTGAATGCTTTCAAATACTTAAGACAAAATTAGCCATCTTGTTTGAAGTTTTCTAAATGCGCTTTATCTACCGTATTCATGTAGTATAGATTTTATGGTAACCAAATAAATATGTATAATTTGTATTTATTATTGTGTTAAATAGTATAATGTAACAAAATTGGTACAGTCGATATTGCATAATATTACCCTTGTATAAAATTGGTTAACTGAACTAATGCTGATTGGCCCTTGCCTTATATGTTAATTAGATTTCTCCCTAAAGTCATCATTCTAAATGCTGATTTGCTATCACTTTATATGTGAATTAGAAAAGTGTGAAGTATTTGGGTAGAGAAAAAGTTGGGGAGATGATTGGTAACCCCACTTTGATAAGATGCAGATTTAAATTGTCCTGTTTGCTAATCTATACAGAACCTGTACTTTGTACGTTGCTTTGGTCAGTGTTTCTTATTGAAATAAAGGAGTCATTAAGGCTCATTACACAGGTTAAACTGTGTACTTAAATTTTTATTAGTTATCATGTCATTGGAATATCACCTTCACCAAACCACACACTTGATCGAGGTAAAGAAACGCTACATTATTTAGAGTAATTTATTTTATATGTTTTCATGATGTCAGCCAAATACTTCTTACCAATAATGATGAGACAAGAGCACACAAATCCAACTAACAAACAGCACACCCCTGAAATGGACAAGTGGAATTTGGATTTCTGGTTTATAAGTCCAGTGATGGGGTAAAGACTATTTTGATAATCTTTCCTTTGTAACAGATAAAATGCATCACTGTTATTGAAGCTTACATCTCTAGGATTCAAACCATAAATCCTGATCTCAATGCCATCGTCGCTGATCGGTTTGAGGGCGCTCTAGAAGAAGCTAGAAAAATTGATGAAATACTAGATGCACCAGAACTGGATGAAATGTACTCTGAAAAGAATGCCCCATTTCTTGGAGTGCCTTTAAGTGTGAAAGAAGCATTTGCCTGCATTGGTAAGCATACCAAAATCTAATGGCCTAATTAATCATTTAACAAAATCAGAATACTTACCTAATTGAATCACATAATCAAAACCTATTTCCCCGGTTTTCAACTTTTTTAGTTATCGGTAATACAAACTTTGGGATCAGAGAGCAATTGGCATGCATTCTCATTTCATTTCATTTATTTATTCACCAAGAAACATGGTAAGGGACAGCTAAAGAAACAAGTCTATGACCCAGAGGCCAGCTGTCCCAATAAATACAAAGTACAAAACACATAAAATTTTTAATTTAATCTATATACAATAACATGCCAAAAAAAAAAAAATATTAGTAATTTTTTTTTTTTTCATTCAGAATCATTTAAATCGACTGTTGACTGATAAAATATTGTTTAAGCTTTAAAACAACAGAAATGAACTCCATAACGTCGCTCATATTACTATATCATTCTGAAAATGAAGTGACAATTAATTATAAGATGAACAATTAAACCTCATAAATAAAGGGTTCAGTACAAATATGTTTTTGTTTTATTTGAGGTTTGCCAAACAGCAGTGGTTTGATGTCCCGTAAAGGCATGATCTCTGAGAGTAATGCTGTAGTGGTTGCCAATCTGAAGAGGGCAGGCTGCATCGTACTTGGCTCAACCAATACCTCAGAACTTTGCATGTGGTACGAATCGGCCAATCATATTTATGGGCGCTCAAATAACCCGTATGACCTGAGGAGGATCGTTGGGGGCAGCTCAGGTAGGATAGAAGGATTTATACAATACAACCCGATTTAGACTCTTACAGATTTCATACATTTTTATTAAGTTTTATCAACTTTATAAGTGCTTTGAGTGCTGTAGCACTATACAAAAATTTAATTATTTTAGATATTAATATTGTTACTTGTCAATAAATATATTTCTTTCAGTATACAGTAAATACAATCATATAAAAAATGCTTAACATTTTCACTATCATTAACAAGTTGATGATAAGGTACAATTACATTAATTTACAGGTAAAAGCAAGTGTGACATAATTTTTATGAACACAACTATCCTAAGTATCAATGGGTCAAAAACAGGCAGAATGAAACCATCAATGCTCGCTACATCTGATAGTTAAAGGGACCACTGTATAATCGCTTGTTAATATTATTATTTTTTTTTAATAACTGATAGTTATAGAAACATTTGGTGTATTCTACAAAATATAGGCCTACATTGATTTCTAATGAACCATGATTTGAAACTAGGTGAAGTTACCTAGTTGATTACAGTGTCCGAATAGTCCACTGATTAATCTCAGATAAGATAGTATAATACATACTCCAAGTATCGAAATGCACGCCATCGTGTCGGAATTCAATATTTCAACATTAATTATGTCATCATCAGGATCACAGTATTATTTTGTAAAACTATAGTAACTACCGTATTGTCTCTAATAAATGCCCCGGGGGCGTTACATTTTTTCAAGGGGGGGTGGCATTTACTAGAGGTGAATTGTAAAATCAAAAATAACCTAAACAAGCTGCTTTAAACGGTCAATAAGTTCTTTATTTGTAGAGGAACAAGATAATGTGCAGGGTATCTCCAGGCCTCCTGCTATTTTGCTGTTCCTCCGTTTGTTGCTGGTTATTTGTGTCATGAATTCCTACTTTACGTATTTCTGAGCAGTATAGAAATGACTAGGAATCCCTCTTTGACATATAAATTATAAACACAGTACACAATGTTGTAAAACAACTCTCAAATAAACTTTTATTCTGTATAAGAATCCGGTATCAAAATAACACAATAACATTCACATAAACATGTGTTTCAAAAAGAGCTCCAGAAAGATAAAACTGTCAGCTTATATACCCTAGCTGCACTATTCCAGAGCATTCAAGATCATTCTATATTGCCTAAGTTCCTCATTGGTCACCTTACATTATAATTAACCAATTAGGCTTATTTGCCTCTATAGTTCCAAAGATTCTAGAAGCTTCCATATACTGTATTACTCTTGGATTCTACATAGTGTCATGTGTTCCTAAAATTACCAATGTGGTTTACACTGTTTCTTTGATCAATTAAATGTTATTCTAGAATCTTCTATGTATTAAATATGTTAAAGTAAGGCAAGGGAGGGTAATTTATTACAATTTGAACATCATTCCCTTGTGTTTCAAAAAGAAATGAAATATCTTCGAGTTCTCTTGGGGTAAATGTCCGACGATGCTGCGCGGTGCTTCTCCTTTCACAACAGTAATCGCGTGCTTGTCAAAAACATTGTCGGCCTCATGAACTGTTGGTAGAATCTCTCCGAT